GTCCCGCCGCTGTCCGCCTTCCCGTGGTGCTGCGCGGCGGCCATGGCGGCGGCGGCGGGCTCGCTGGTGGCGGCCGTGCTGGCGCACTCGGGCCGCCTCGACAAGGAGGACCTGGGCTCGCGCATCGCGCGCCTCTCCCGCCGCGTGGAGGAGCTGAAGGCAGGCGCGGGGCCGGGGCCGCGGCCGCGGCCGGGGCGGCGGGCGGCGCGGGGGGTGACCGTGCCGCCGCGTGTGCCGCAGGGCGAGGTGTGCAACGTGATCACCAAGAAGTACAGCGAGTTCCTGCCCAGCCTGCAGAGCGCCGAGGAGCTGGTGGCGCAGGTGGAGCGGCTGGCCGGCAGCATCGACGCGCTGCGCGCCCGCATCGAGAGCGAGGTCGGCCACCCCGCGCGGCCTGGCCGTGCCACGCTGCGCTGTGCCGTGCCGTGCTGTGCCGGGCTTCACGGTGCTGTACCGTGCCGTGCCAGGTTGTGCTGTGCCACGCTGTGCCGCACGGTGCCGTGCCCCGTTGTGCCGTGCTGTGCCGCACGGTGCTGCACCATGCCGTGCCAGGTTGTGCTGTGCTTTCCCATGCTGTGCTGCACGGTCCCGTGCCATGCTGCGCTGTGCCATGCCGTGCCGTGGGCAAGGTGCAGGGGACAAGGCCGTGAGCCCTCGGGAACACCGTGAGCTGACCCACGGTGTCGTCAGGCCTCCAGCCCGTGCCGAGAGCTGTCATCAAGGCACAGCCCTGCACTTGCTGCGCTGGACCCCGGACAGAGCCCCCCGGCGCTGCTCCACAGGCTGCTGCCGCCGTCCCGCATGGCAGCGGATCCAGGCCCGCCGCCTGCCCGGGCCGGCGCCGTCCCGCTGCCGTGTGTGTGCAGGCCTGCGGTGTCCGTGCCGCCTGCGCACCGGGCACCATCACAGAGCCAGCGGCCCCAGCGACTCCTTTCGCTGCCCTTAGGATGCGTGCAAGGAGGGGCGTGAGTGTGCTTCCCAGGAGCTTGTTTTGTTTTGACTGCATTTAGAAACTGTCCTTTTTCTTACAGTGACTTTAAAATCCTCCAGTGTTTTATTACAAGGGAAAACAGTTCATAGGAGTTTCTCATGCTGATAAGGATCTTTTTATCAAGAAGTAAAATAGGTGACCGCAGCAGTTGAGGATATTATTGTTATGAAATGATAAAGCAGATAAACTGCTTTAATTGAATCTTTTACTTGCTCCTCAAATTAGTCTAAGAATTGAAATACTTTTAAATCTTATGTGCTTATTACTTTTAAGAGGAACTGTGTCAGAAAAGGTCTGGATGCCATGATGCGTCCGCTCCCTTAGGTTCAGCGAGATCTAGATGTTGCCGTGGCCGAGTTTACTGAACTGAAGCAGCAGCTGGAGCGCGACACGCTGGTTCTGAGTATCCTGAAAAAGCTACAAGAGGTGAGGCGGGAGAGGGGGGCAGTTGCTCTGTGGTGGTTTTCCTCCTGCTGCTCAGCCTGCAGCGTTATGCTGAGCTCTTCTGAGTAATCAGCTCCTGTGTCTAGCCGTGGCGTTCAAAAATTCATCTTATAGCAGATGTACAGTTACCTGTGATCCTATTTGTTTGTTGCAGTTTGATACAGCTATTAAGGAGTATAACACTGCATTGCTGGAAAAGAAGTATGTTGCAGCAGCTCAACAGCTGGAAAAGGTAATGATGGCTTCTCAAGCACATGACAATTTTGTTCATAAATACTTTCCATAGATTCCCTGGGGTTCTTTTGTTAAAAGGCCAGGGGGGCAGCAGTTGCCCTTGTTTTGCGTTTGGCTCTTTCCGCCCTTATGACTAGGCCCGAAGGAGCTTGAAAACGCTGGAATCCCGTAAGGGCTTTGAGCTAAAGATCCTGAAAGCCCTTGGCACGGAGCTCACAGTGCAGACACAAAACATGCTCTATCATCTGGGAGAGGAGTGGCAGAAGTTGGTTGTGTGGCGGCTTCCTCCTTCCAAAGGTAGGCACAACTCGAGTCGAGCGTTGATCAGACTCTGGGAACCCCATTAAGTGGAAACGGAGAGTCTGCAAGCACCGCAGTCACTTCTCTGCCTGCGATAGTTCAGACCTCGCTCTGACGGAGAGATCTTGCTTCTCTTCTTTAGCAAGCAGCAGCCTGGAGTCAGCGCTGGCCTCAGAACTGCACTTGTGCACAGTGCCATCAGAAGAGGGGTTGGCTGGCCCACCCGTTGCCTCTGTGCTGCAGGCCTTTGCTGTCCTAGGAGAACTGCACTCCAAGCTCAAAACTTTTGGTAAGACAGACCTTGGTTCTGAGTAAACACAGCTGTAGTGCTGGGCTAGGTGTGAGCTCAGATTTGTTGCAAGAGGCTTATTGAGACCCAGGTCCACGTGAGCATTACACTGGCAGGCACCTTCTTACTCTTTTGGCATGTGTTTTTCGGCAAGCATAAGGTAAAATCTCTAGTTCTTATTATCCTAGTAAACTGGATTTGTGGCTATGTGGTTTCATGGTCTCGTGTTCAAGCAGTTTTTCCAGTTACATGCTCTTTCTCTGTAAAGAGCATGACTGCTGGTGACAGGCAGACGCTGGGCTTCAGCCGGCCCAGGGCTTGTAAATCAGGAAGCATAGCAGATGCTAAGATAGGATTTAATGCTGCTGCCTGCGAGATTGTTTCTCTCTCTCATTAAATATGTTAGGCGTTTAGTATTTGTTAGGCATCCCTCTATGTGTTATTTGAGTAAAACGGGCTTGAAAGAAACCAAACTCAACCTTTTATCGCATGCACGTTCCCTGATAGAGGCACTCACGAGAGTGTTTCCTCTGCCTTATCGGAGCTATCCCAAATCCAAAGGAGTCTCCAGTGGGCCCCTCAGGAGCAAACAGCCTGCCTTCCACTGCTGAGAGCCTGTCTTCTTTTTCCTTCCTCAGGCCAGCTCTTGCTGAAACACATCCTGAAGCCACTGATTTCTTACTCATCTCTTCGGCCATTGGTAGAGGAGCAGTCAGATGTGGTCATCCTGCGTTTTAAGTCCGAGGAACCTAACTTGGATAACACTTCTCCTGTAGAGGTTTTTGAGAAGATTAAGCAGATTCTAGAATTTCTTCACAAGTATCTGCTGAGTAGGTAGTTTTCCCCTATTGCAGCCGGACGGAGTTGCTGCTAAGCACTCAGCTCACGTCATTGTAGCGGAAGCTTTTTGGAACTTCGGTTTATTAAGCAGCATTGATTTAGGCGTATGGTCTAAGCAGCTTTTAAGTTGCCATGCCATGCTCTGGGGCAGCTTGGCAACTTGCAAACTGAACTTGCTTGCCATACTGTGAAAATGAGAGAGAAACGTGCTTTGCCTCAAAAGGACCAAGCAGTTCCTTTTGTGGGGGAGCAGTCTTTCTCCTGAGACCAGTCAGTGCAGGGATGATCTTTGCACACCACAGGTCCAAAAGCTGGGAGTCGTGTCGCAGCGCACAGAGCTCCTCACTCAGGCTGGTTCCACTCAGGATCTTCTCTTGCCTAGAAGCTGCTCTGGGCTTTGCTAGCATTTCACAAAAGAAGCATAGAGAGAAAATGGTTCAGTTTACATATAGCTGTAGTTGTCTGCGTGGCATAGATGGTTCCACGTGCCCAGGGAGGCCTAGACATAAAGCGTACCTCCATAATAATCCTCCATAATAATGGTTACGGAAGAACTTGAGAGATGCTGCTCTGACAGGAGAGACTGAATGAATCGGTGGAGGGTCTGGTCAAGAAGGAAGGTGTGTTGAAATTCCTTTGTGTTCTCTTGAATCCAGATGTTCCTCTTGAGGGCGTGGACGACAAAAAGGAGTGCAGGGTTATACTGTCAGAACTGCTGGGTGATATAATATGGGAAGAGTTATCTGACTGCCTCATTCAGAACTGCCTGGTGAATTCAATTCCAACCAATAGCAGCAAGCTGGAGCAATATGTAGAGGTAGGACTCAAATCTTTCAAAAATGCATGGTGGAAATTCCAGATACGTAGCTTCAGCAGCAAGTGTCTCTCTCCTCTCTTTTGCTGAGGCAGAATAACATGAAATACTCCTCTCAGTTAAGCTGTGGCTGGGAATTTACTGCAATGTTTACCTTTGTTTTTATGATCACGGCAGTTTCTTGTGTTGGCAACCTAGGGTTTTTTTTTTTTTTTTTTTTTTTTAAATCTAACCCAGTAAAATAGAAATTAATGGCAATGAGGTGTGCCAAACAGCTTTGCCTGAAGAAGGGGCTGTTTCACAGGCAAGCAGTGACAGGACAAGCACTCCAATCCCTTTTCCCTAGGTAGGCTTGTACAAGGAAATGTGACGGGATTACTCCTTTGCTTTTTGAGTTAGGTTGCCTGTAGAGTTGGGGGGACAAAGTTGCAGTTCAGAGAAAGTAGCTGCATGTTTTCCGGGCCTCAGAAAATTGAGCCATGTGTTTCCAAAGCACCATTGAGGAGCTGTCAGATGGTTAGAGCCCTTTCAAACTTCCTCTCCTGCTTTGCTTTCAGCTGAGCGGAAGAGTTTATACCCTGCTTTCTTTCCCGGCTTTGATTTTAGAAAGTTCCCAAGTACTAATGTAGTGCTGTCTGCTTTTTCTCAGGTGATTAAGTCCACAGAGGAGTTTGAAAAAGCCTTGAAGAACATGCAGTTTTTGAAAGGAGACACAACCAACTTACTGAAATATGCCCGTAATGTCAATTCCCACTTTGCTAACAAGAAGTGCCAGGATGTTATTGTGGCAGCCAGAAAGCTGATGACCTCAGAAATACACAATACTGTAAAGGTGCTGCTTGTTGCAATATACTTTTTTTTTTCTTTTTTAAGTGCAGAAAAATGGTAGAGCTAATGAAGAGTTGTCCAAAACACTGGAGTCCTTTTTCACTGAGGACTCATTTGATCTGGTTCTTTGGGGATTTCAACATAAAACAATTTCAGATTGTTTTCTGGTTGGCTAGTTGGTTGGTTGGTTGTTTTTAATGGTGCTCTAGTGCATTATTCCACTCACATGATCTTTCTTAAAATACTTGCAGTTCTGTTTTATAAGCTTTTTCTGACAATTGTCATAAGCACAAAAAAGAAATAGAATATCATTTACAGAGCTAGCTTCTCTGCTGAAATAGTGTATAATCTGTTTCACAGACTGCCAGATCACTGTTAAAACAAGTGGCCTCTGGTAGAGACTTCTGGAGGCTTGCAGCCTATCTGCAGTCTCAAATCTTTTCATTCAGTGTTTCATTGTCTTGGGCAGTCTCCTTTTTGTGGATTCTGAATTATGTTTTACCTCTCTCATGTTGTCCCATAGATCTCACCTGATTCTTCTGTAGCACTACCAAGACTTCCTGATCCAGGGGCAGGAGATCATTTGAAAATGGAGAAAACTTCAAAACTTCTGCATAACGAGATGATGATTTTGGAGAATGACTCTAAACTGAGCCAGCACACGTTTTCCCTGCCCGCATGCCGCATCAGCTCTTCAGTGGAGGAACTGATGGATCTGGCTTACCAGACACTTCTGGAGGCGACAGCCAGCACCGATCAGTGGTAGGATTTCTGTGACAGCAGGTAGCCCTCAGATGTGAGATACTTGCTGCTTTTGGCAGCGCTGGGCATCTGTTAGGAGATTAAAATCAATTTAGAAGAGTAGCAAACGTTTAAAAATGAGAATGGATCATTAAAAGTGATGGGTGTTCGGGCTAGAGGCTGAATGCCTGGTGTGAGCAGCAGAGTATCACTTGCTTAGGAAAACAGCAGCCGTCTCCTCTTATCTGAACAAACTGGTAAGTGCCGGAGCCCCTTCTTAGGCGAGTTCATGTGCCCGGGACAAAAGCAAAGAGCTGCAGTTCTGCACCTGACAGGGCTCTTCAGAGAAAACACTCCGGCTTGCTGGCTTTCCACCTCAGGCTTTATTCTCTGCTTTATAAACTGGAGCCCACAGTCTGCAGAGGCAGTGAGGGTTCCCTAGGTGCTGAGCACCTCTCAGCGTGCCGTGTCGGGGAGAGGACGGGCTGCTGCACGCACCTACTGGGAGAGGGAACACTATCCTCTTTGTCCGTGGGGTTTCACGTATCTCCCTTCGACATATGGCGTGGGGCTCCTCTGAAGCTTCCCCGCGCTGAACTTGAGAGTGCAGACATTGTCAGCTGCTTGTCCTCTGTGGGACAAGGTCGGCACAGCTTTTGTGAGCGGTCTTTGTGAGTTTTCCAGAATGCTGCCTTGATTGACTTTGCTGTAATTGATCCTGACAATTCATTCTTTGTGTCCGTAAGGAAAATGTGCTTCGCCACTCATCAAACCTGGTTGTTTTTGCAGAAAAACGGAAAACAAACACTGCAGACACTTTTATTAGTTTCTCTGTGCCCAGGGCATCGGTGCTTCGTGATTTCTTGATGAGAAAGGGACGTGTATTTGCGAGTTGTCCTTGCCTCTTATTCCTTAAGTGCAAAGGGCAGTGAGAAAAGGAAAGTTTTGGAAGGTTTTCTGGAAGCTGCTGAAGCTCCTGGTCAAAGTAGGTTTCTGAATGAGAATTGGAGCCAGCAAGAGTTGTCGTCTTTGTTTCTCTCTCCCTTTTTTCTGCTGGCTTTTGTTTTTAAACAGTCTTTCAAAAATGTCTAAGTGGACCATTAGAAAATCCTGTCGTTGGTCTCCAGTTTGCTTTCCTTTGTCTTCTTTCAGCGCTGAGGAATACATATATTAATGCTGCTAACAAACTAACACGATCCTTATTTTTGTTTTAGCTGTATACAGCTCTTCTACTCGGTGCGGAATATATTCCAGCTGTTCTATGATGTAGTGCCAACATACCACAAGTAAGTGTGCACTTGTGTGTTATCTGGGGTTTATCAGCCCCACTTACTCTCCATTTGTCCAGCACAGCCAAAGATTGCTAAGGGTCTTCTTCCAGTGGAAAAAGACTAGTACTCTTAATCTATTATTAAGTTATACTGGCAGAGTATTTGTGTGAGAGGTTTCAAGAGTTTCTGGGTTGGAGGTCTTATGACCCAGGAGGATGTTTTTAATATGTCTTTGACAGGACTTACGCTGGTTCTATGTCTTCTGATCCGGGGAGGGCAGGGAGATTTAAAAAAAAAAAAAATTGAAACACAGAATTGTGTCCGAGGACACGGGTGCATTACTGAAAAGGCCTCCTCTTTCCTCATCATTGAGCTATAACAAAGTGCCCATCTGCTGGGAATTGCATTGTCAGGAAATGGTGTGGGTGTAACGCACCCTTGGAAAGCTGAAACACCTTTTCTGCCTCGGAGGCCCTTTGCGCATCCGAGAGGAGGCTGAATGCGCTTGCTCTGGCTGATGCCTTTATCCAGCATCGCGTGCAGTTAGATGCCTGCAGCATTTGTCTCGAGACGGAGGCTGCATTTCTCAGGGGTAGGTATAGCCGTTTTTTAGCAGAGCCGGATCCAAGTAAGTATGTTCTTTTCTCCTCCTTCCTGGGACAGAGAGAACCTGCAGAAACTGCCCCAGCTGGCAGCCATTCATCACAACAACTGCATGTACATTGCTCACCACTTGCTCACCCTGGGACACCAGTTCCGGTACCGCCTGACCAGCATCTTGTGCGATGGAACAGCCACTTTTGTAGATATGGTGCCTGGTTTTAGGAGACTTGGTAATTTCACCTTACCCTTTTTAAACAGTCGGATGAGTGCAATGGTAGTTCATGCTGAATTTGCTTACAAACAACTTAAAATGTAAGTGAAGCTTCGAGCTAGAACAGTGAGTTGCTATTTAGGAATTTTCCTACCTTCTGTGTGACGGAGTCTGACAGAGCTTTATGAGTCTAGGCAAGAAGGTCTTTAAAGCCTGACTCTTAAGTCTGGCTCTGCTCATCCAGCGCACAGTTTCCAAAACAATTTCTTACTCTGAACGAAGAGAGGCTGTTAGAGGATCGAAGAGATCCTGCTTTGAGATCTGCTCTTCTGTCTCTTGATGCCTTCTTTAGGTCACTCTATAGAAAAAAGAACTGAGATATACTTGTGTCAGCCTCACAGGTGCCTGTCGTCCATAGTTACTCCTGATACCTCTTTCTTATAAGCTTTGTGGCTATCAATGCTCTACAAGACATTACTGAATCTCTAAGTGACAGTGCACGCCTGGTTAATTTGCTCCACGAGACTGATTAGAGGCTGGAAAGCGCTTTAAAAACCAACATGGCAAGTTGATGATTCAGCAGTTGCACTCTGCAAATAGGCAAGGCCAATTATTATCTGTTTATGACCCTCCCTCCGCCCTTGTTTGCTCCTGAAGGGATGGAATGTTTTCTGGCCCAGATGCGAGTGCAGAAGGGAGAAATACTGGAGAGGCTGTCAAGTGCCAGGAATTTTTCCAATATGGATGATGAGGAAAATTACTGTGCAGCAAACAAAGCAATAAGGCAGGTAAGCAACACAAATTGAGACCTAACACACCGTTGTCTGTAGCGGTCCACGAGTCGGTACAGTCTCCGTCTTGAGAACTGGGGGTGTTTCAGCAGAGTAGAATCCACAAACAGCTATTCCTGCTGGTCTGGGTTGTATTTCCCTGGGCTATATTACCTCCTTTTATAAAACTGAAACATTTTCTTGCTCTGAGATGAAATGAAAAGTGTCTAACCTTTGGGAATATTTGCTCCCAAATGACTATATTTTTAAAGTATTTCATTTTTCAAGTTCTGTTGCACTTGTGATGAACCTTAGTGCAAACTGTATATTCTGCCTTTTTTTCTTTTTCCTCTTGGAAAGCCTATTATGTGCAATAGCTTGATACTTCTTTGTGTTATTCTTCTTTAAAACTGTTTTCTGTCCACCTGCAGTCACCCTACCCTACGGTACCTCTCTTGTACGTTCTGTTTGATGCCACATCAGTTAGTACATGGTTGCTGTCTTCCAGGTGTTGCATCAGTTGAAAAGACTGGGAAAAGTCTGGCAAGATGTCCTTCCTGTGAATGTGTATTGCAAGGCCATGGGGACGTTGCTGAACACAGCCCTCACAGAGATTGTCACGAGGATCACTGCCCTAGAGGTAGCGGCGTGACGTGGACATTTAACACAGCACGTACTGAAAAACCGGTGAAACGTCAAACTATTTCTCACTGCTTAAACCGCAGTGGTTGCTTCCGATTTCATTTCCATTTGATTCCCAGGATGTTCAAGCTGCGTTTAAGCATTTGTTAGCTTATGTGGGGACAAACACATTTATCCTAATACATTTCTTAGTGAAAATACCTTTTTCATGTCACGTAATAAAATGTGTTTGTGCATTTGTAGTAGCTGTAATCTACAGCAAAGGGCACCCCCACTCAGTTAAGCCAGTTGTGCTTTTCTAGTTTACAGGACACTTGCTCAGACTGTGCTTGCAGTAAACTCTGCTTTCATTGTTGGCCTGGCATTACCTGAACAATTTCCTTATGAATTGTTCAGAACTCATCAGAACAACTCCGCCACACCATGAAATGCTTGCTGTGCTATTAAGATAACTGCTCAAAAGCACAACTGTTGGTCTAAGGGGACTGTAGAGAACTTGCTGATACTAGCCATTCATGAAATAGGTCGTATCAGTTTGAGAATATTAAGCACAGTCCAGACCGCTGCTTTTTGTATTCACATAGCCGCTCTTTTACCTTTCATTTCCTGCTCCGTACTCCCTAAATATATCTAACTGCTTCTTCGCTCACATGTGTTAAATTCCAGGATATCTCTGCTGAGGATGCAGATAGGTTGTACTCCCTCTGCAAGACCATGGTAGAAGAAGGACCCCAAGTTTTCACCCCGCTACCTGAAGAGGACAAAAATAAGAAATACCAAGAGGAGGTTCCAGTCTATGTGCAGAAGTGGATGACATTCAAAGAGCTGATGATCATCCTGCAAGCCAACCTCCAGGAAATAGTAGATCAGTAAGTATCTTACCTTTCAGTAGGCCTGGCAGCTCTTTACCTTGGTAATGCGTTGCTGGGAAGTGCTCCGACACCAGCAGGGCCTCGCAGGCCGGGGACCTTGCTCTCACAGAGGCAATTACCTCTAATAAAGAGGTTCAGAACAGGTTTGAGATTCAGGTATTGGCTCCTGGGGCTATTTCCTGGGTGCGTGTTTGTAGTGCCTTTCACGCTTGCCATCTGAGGAGCAATGGAACGTGTCCTCGGCAGCCTAAAATGAACGGCACAAGCTGCGGAGAAGGCACATGCTGCATGCAGCTCACTGGAGCTGTCTTGTCTCTAGCCTTACTGCTCTGACAGGCCTAGAACTTCTTTACACTTTAAAGTGACCTTTAGCCAGTCAGCATCTTGGGCTGTAAGACCGGGACAACTGCAGTGGTTTATAGTGAGGGCTCAGCTTGTTTTAGCAAGAAGTTGCTGTGCAATCTTGTGAAGTAACGATGCAGTTACTTTTCTCCCGCTTAGGTGGGCGGATGGGAAAGGACCTCTTGCAGCTGAATTCTCCCCAGTGGAAGTGAAGAGTCTTATCCGCGCCCTCTTCCAGAACACAGAAAGGAGAGCAGCAGCTCTGGCCAAAATTAAATAACGGTGCGTTTGCTCCTGCGTGTTCCCTCTTCTGATGAAACAAGACAAGAGTGAACCGAGTCTTTCAGCTGGTTTTTGATTCAACCCTTTTGTACTGGTATAGAAGACGCTTACCATTAGGCAAAGTGCTTCCTGGAGGCTCGACTGGAGAGAAAAACGTTTCCGAGCTCAATATCCTTGGGGCAAACAGGGGAGTAGTTTGAGGTCTGGGACTGGAAAATCAAAGGTGGCTACACATAGACACTAACTGCTTTGCTCCGTCTGCCAGGTCAATGGAGTTAGGTTTCCTTCTGATACCCTTCTTGAGCTGGTGGGCATACAGTCCTGGTGAAGAGATGCTTTTGGTGATGTTTGCTAAATTCCATTGTCCAGGATGTCCTCTTCCTCTAAGCTCAGCCTAGGGCAATTAAGTAAATCTTTTATCCAACATCTCATTGCAAGAATAGGCACTGGTGTCAGGTGGGCCTCCCGTGCAAGAGCTGTGGTGCTGTACTGTGTCATCTCGAGATTGCTGAGGGGGCTTCTGGAGGGACTTTTATTTCTCACTAGCGAATCTTACCTATGCAGTTTTACATCAGGGCACGTACGCCCACTGTATCTTACCTCATCCGTCCTTGCACATTGCATATGAAACCCACAGACGTTGATAGCTTTGGGGGTTCTAAGACTGCTGAAGTGCCAAATTTTGCTCTTTCCTGCCCCTTTGCTCAGGTTTCTCTGAAAAGCAGGTCTCTAAAGAGCGAAAATGTAAGGGGGAGAGGGAAAGATGGTCCATGTGTATAAGTAAACTGTATACTGGTTCACGATGTTTTGTACAAGTGACAAAATTACTCTGGGCTTTTTATTTCTCATGGAAAATACTTTAAAGAGACTTAGAAGTCTTTAGTCTTGCTTTGCCAGCTGTGGAAGTGAGTTCAGCCGCTTCTTTTACTTTTTCATTGTGTAAGATGGAGGTAGCTTTGGCACCTACTGTCTTTCTGCCATTATCTCTTTCTGTGCTTTTAGAAGAGAAATGTAAATAAATATAACTAGGAAATGCAGTGTGCAGTCATAGCATTGTCTTTCAAATTACTAATCTAACGTAGTAAGTGTTAGATGGATTTACTTTATGCTTCAGCATCTACCAGTCCTTTTTACAACAACGCATTTGCCATTTAACCCCTTTCTCCTGAGCACACCTATCACTATTATTTCACCTGTCCTCTATCAAATTCATAAAGCCTCATAGAAAAGGATTTGGAAAGGTTCATTGGTTAACAAGAGAAATGGCTAAAGAATATTAGGAAAAGGGTAGATAATTTGTCGTCTCGATGCCCTGTTTTCCTACTGTGCACCTCCAAAAATTAAGTCAGGCAAACAATTTACCCATAGCGAGGCTGTAAATAATCAATTATCGAGTGCATGGGAGTACGATGGGTTGTTTACTTGCAGTCTTGGCTCTTAAGACCGTGCAAAGCAGAGGAAGCCCCTGTGTTCTTATTGTAAAACGGCCCTTTTTGTTTGATGAGAAATCTTCAGTTTCACTGACTTCTGGAAACATTTGCAAAAGGCCGGAAAGAAATGCTACATAAGGCATTTTTAAGGGAGCTATTTTTTAAAAGCAAAACATTAAGTTACTATATCAAAAAAAAAATCAGCTACTGAAAATAAGGCTATTAGAAAAAGTAAAGTATATTTTTAGTACTTTTTTTTATTCTTAATGCCCTCCAGTAAGCTATTTCCTTTACTGTTCCACGGGCCTGCCAACAGAAATAGAGAGCTGGCTGTCCTGGACTCTCTTGCAGTAGCAAACTCTTGATTCTGAGAAATGTACAGGTTTTATTGAAATGTCACCAATAGCATTTGTTGCAATAAAGTCAAGATGTTCTGGGTGCTACATACGTGGAACAACATATTTCCTACCCCCTAGCGCTTGCAGTCTGCTTATGGAAGTTCTGCTCCCCAGGAACTTAGCATTTTGGTCTTTCTTATCTACCATTGTAGCCTTTTCATTTGTACTTTGGTCCAACTGCTGTTTGTATTCCCGAGCTTTTCTCTAGTACCTGGATCACCGCTGGCGTCTGCAGTGCACCTGGGTCATCACAGATCTGAACAGTCTCTGCCTGCTGGGGCAGCTGAGCACACCCGTGTAGCTTCCTCTGGATCCCTTTTACACGTGGCGATCCAAGAAATCCATATTTTGAAAAACACTTCTCCCATGTGGATTCTTCACAGAAATATAACACTCTATTTTCTATAATAAACTATTTGTACTGGCCAAGTTTCCTACTGTCATCTGAGGGCTCTGCCGTGGGTATGGTTACAGACAGTATGAATTATTCGTGGACTGTTCTTCACTTGCTGTGCAGCCTGGACGAAGTTTTGCTCTTTGAAGCCTCTCCTTGCTTTGCTTCTAGTAGATCTGGTCAAGCAAAACATAAATAAAAAAAAAAAAGGGGGGGTTGGGTGGGGGGGGAGAAAACGAATTAGTGCAATGCTGTGGGTTGGGCGGTTTTCCTGTTTTTTTCTGGACATTCATGTGTCCAGACAGCTACATTGCCCTGCAGTGGAAGCACACTGGAGGCACGGGAATCGTTCTGGGGCTGATGTGGCCGAAGGCATCTGTAGGTGACAGACACCTGCCGTTCCCCCAGGGACATTCCCCCAGCTGAGTGGTGAGCTTCAAGGCAGGTGCTCTGCCGCTGCCTGCGTGCGGCCCCGGGGCGCACGCGCTTTGCCCCCTTGCTGCAGCTTACCTCGGTGATGTGGTGAATCCAGGGCAGCAGTTGAGCCACGTTGGTGTAGACGCCCGGGTGGTTGGGCTCCCCGCAGCCCTGGCCCCAGCTCACGATGCCGACTAAGCGCCACGTGGGCCCATCCTGGCAAACCAAGGGGCCGCCGCTGTCCCCCTGCAAGGCAGAGCAAGGTTCAGCGCCTCGCGAGCGGCCGCGCGCCTCCGGCGGCCCTGCTGCTACCTGGCAGGCGTCGATCTGCCCGTGCGGGTAGCCGGCGCACAGCATCCGGGCGGTGAGCTCGCCCGCGTACATGCACGAGCTGTTGCACAGCGTGGTGCCGATCAGGGGCACCAGAGCCTCTTTCAGCGTCTCAGTAATCTGCGCTGCGCAAGGAGGAAGAGCAAGACGAGGTATCTTGAGCGAGCAGGAGGGGATGAGCGGGGTGCCTGCACCCTGTGGGGGACGCGGGCACCAAAGCTTACCTTGCTGCGGGCTGGTGTAGCCCCAGCCAGAGACCCAGCAGTAGGAGCCTTGGAGGAGGTCCTGGCGGGCGGGCGGCAGGCACACGGCACGCACAGCGTCTGCGGGAAAGGGCCCCGTGAGCGGCAGCCTGACAGGCCGCCGTGCTGCGCGCCCACGGCCACTCACCCGAGAAGTTCAAAGGGGCTTGGAGCTTCATCAGGGCGATGTCGTAGTCCAGAGTTTTGTCATCGTAAAGAGAGTGGTAGATGATTTTCTCCACCGCCATCCCTGCCTCTTGTCCAGCAGCCCCGTGGGTGACCACCCCAGCAAATACCAGCCAGTTGGAGGCCTCCCGGCGCCGTCTGTAACTGAACAGAACTCCGGGTGTGGTGTCCCTCGGCAAGGCTGAAGTCGCTGGTGCGGAGCGCAGGGCACAGGACAGCGGGCGCTACCTGTGCACGCAGTGGGCCGCAGTGACAATCCAGTCGGGGGCCAGCACGGAGCCGCCACAGCGGTGCTGGGAGCCGTGCTGCACGCTGACCTGCCAGGGCCAGCGCCCGCGGGGCGCATCGGCGCCGCCGAGCACGCGGGCAGCCCCGGGGCGCAGCCCGCACTCTGCGGGCCGCCCCGGGCACGTGAGCCAGGGCCCGCGGGCCCCGGTGCAGTGGCCGGGCAGGCACCAGGGGAGCGAGCACTTACCTGAGCATTTCAGAGCCACGACCCAACCTGACTCACAGGCGCTCCTGCAGGGGTAAAACCCCGCTCCGACTCGCACAGATGCCTTGGCCAACCCCAAGGGGCTGCTCATGGGCAGCGCCAGCACCGCATCCTCCTCGCCTGCCTTCCCTGGAGCTGCCCCTACCTGATCTGCCACATGTCTTGCAGGCGGCCGCCCCACTCAGGTCTTATCTGGGCGAACTGCTGCGCACCGTCCAGACGGATGTCCGTCACGTTCACCGCCTTCTGGTGGTTCATCCTGCAGGGTGACAGCGCAGCTGCCAGGCTCCCGACGCTCGGCCCCGCTGCCCCTGGCAGCGCCACACACCTGAGGTAGCCCAGCTGCCGGCAGAGCCGCGTCCCCAGGGAGAACTCCCACCGCTCGTGGCATGCCAGGAGCCAGCCGGGCCTGCTTTCCATCTGCACTTCCAGCAGGGAGTTCTCTGGGTTTATTCTGAAAGACACTGAAGACATTTTTATTAAGGTGAGCCTGTGAGTTCTCCTCCTTGAAGCGTGGCAGCTTTGCTGCACAACGACATGCAGAGTGCCCGGCTAAGGTCCCCTGCGTGCTGCCCCCCACAGCACCCCCTCCTCGCCCCCGCCGTGCTTGCTGCGCGAGGAGGGAAGGGACAAACCTGTGCCAGGAGCTCGGGACACCACGGGCTCCTCCTTGTCGCTGCCGTTGCACACTGCGATAGCTCCTGCTTCCTGCGGTGAGGTGAAGCCCAGGTCTGTCGGAGGCCGCTGCAGGTGTTTCACTTGGGGGAGAAGAGGGTACAGGGGGCATTGCACGGCCAGGACAGTCCAGCAAGGTGCACAGTGTTGGCACTGGCCCGTGCCACCACTGAGAAGGTTGGATGTGCCTCTCTGCCTCTCGCTGGGGCGGCAACGAGTGTCAGAGCTGGTGCCGCCTCCATGCACCTGCAGGCGCTGCAGCTCCGTGCAGCCCTGCCGCCAGCAGCTGCGCACACCCAGGCTCCCAGCTCCAGCTCTGCCACGTTAGCGGGGCCATCACGAGGAAGGCACTGACCTAGAAGCCATGCCCCAGCCGCCGTCCCTGCCAGCAGGCCAACCATCCCGAGCAGTGGGAGCAGCCTCCGTGCAGCACATAGGTTTCTGAGCAGCGCACTAGAAGAACCTTTACAGAACAGAGCAGGGGAAGGATAAGCCTGGTCTTGCCTCTCCTCGCCCAGAGAACCCCCCACATGGCTGCAGCCTGGAACAAGGGCTTGCTGCCTCCGTGAAGGCGTAAGCTACATCCACACATCCCGCAGGAGGCTGGAATTGGGGGCCCGTCCCCCCACAAGCCCCTAAGTGGCTCACCGTATCCTGCGGGGACGCGGGTCGTGCCTGCTTCTCCCCGCAGCTCTGCTGGCTGGCTCCTGTGACTCTGCACAGCGTCCCCACCCTGCGCCAGGCTGGGGGGACGCGCTCCAGCGGGGCTCTGGGCCAGCCTCTGGGGAAGGAGGGAAGGCAGGCGGAAAAGAAGGATATCAAGGAGAAGCAAACCTACTGCAAGGTAACCCAGGATGCAGCCCGGGAGCTCCGCAGCAGGCGCAGCGGGTGACGGCGCCGCTCACCATGCTAGCCCCGGGGAGCCGGCGCTGCGGGCGCTGCGTGCAGCGCTGCGGCAGGACCCCGCCGCAGGCCTCCTGCCAGCGGCTCCAGTTTCACCGTGCACGCCGGCGGCGCCGCGCCATGCACGCGCACCGCGCACACTGGCCGCCGCCTGAAGGGCGCCTTTGTCTGGGGCCGGCCTGCTCGCCTCCCTGCCCCTGAGCTCACACGCCACCAGGAGAGCCTCGGGAACGGCCCCCAGCCCCTGGAGCAGCAGTGGGCACGCGGCCAGCACTCGCAAAGCCTTCTTCCACCTACCCACCCCTCGGCATCTCGCACGTCCCTGCCATGCGCCAAGCGGCCAAAGAGCAGCGGCAGCGCCGGGCTAAACCCGCCGTGGCGCGGCACCAGCTCCGGGGCAAACGGTGCCGCGCTGGCAGAGGGGAGCATGAGCACACTTGGACCGGGGGTATGGGTCAGGTGAGAGCCGTGGGGCAGTTCTCCACCTCCAAGCTGGCTCTCCTTTGGGCTGGGAAGAGCAACAAAGGTCAAGCAGCAGATCACTGGCTTCTGGTTTCCCTTGTAACTTCCTGCTGCTGCAATGCACTTGGCCGATAGAAAGCAGGCCTTGCCAGCACTTCTTGTGCTAGAGCAGCAGCCACAGCTCCTGCTAAAAGTCCCGTGACAGACACGCAGCCCAGCCTGTCTGTGCAAGCAGCTCGCCAGCCGGACCCGCACTCCCCGCCAAGCCGCACTCATGTGCAGGGCTGACACAGCTCTCCCATCCAAGGGGTGAGAAACTGAGGACTGCAAGTGTTCACAGCCCTGCCTCAGGGACCGTCCTTGCAGCTGCAGGCTGTCCGTACCTGGTGCCACCGGAGCATCTTCTCCCACGCGCCGGGGACTGTAGGTGGTGCTGGAGGACTACGAAGCACCAGCGCAGAGCCCAGGCGGCTCCCCAGGACTGCGGAAACGGGGACCAGTATTTCTGTCAGCTCTGTTTGCTTACAAGAAGAAAGCACTAGCTAAAAAGAGAGAGTTTTTTAAATTAATTGCTTTTACACACACTTAGGAATAGGAAGGAGAACAGCTTTTTCCACCTCGTTTTCAACCATTCTCCCACGATTCTTTAGAGAAGCCAGGGAGAGCAGTGCTGCTTGCATGTGTGGGCAGTAGCAGGGAAATGCCCCTCCAAGTTATATGGCCACCGCAGCGTGGATGAGCACTATCGAGAAGAGCACGTCCCCTCCACCACTAAGCCCGACTTGGCTGCCAGCTGAGTGAAGCACCACTGCACAGCACCAAGCCAGACGTTAGCTCCTGTTGCTTAACAGTCACAGCTGGTAAGGGCACAGCTACATACACTGACAATGAAGATCTGGCCTGCAGTTTGATAAGCGACATGCTACAAGTATTTGCAATAACCAAAAACCCTCTCCCTCGGTTAGGCGAGATTAGCAAGAAAAGGTTGCTTCTTGGCAAGTAAAACTGCTTTCTCCGTGCCTTACCTGATGCATTCCTCCCCAAACATAATTGGTGAGAGTTGCTTTATTGCACACACACATACAGGCTCCTTTCACCTCCAGAGCAGACTCAGTCAGGGCCATGTGGCTGTAGCCCGTACCTAGAATCATAAATCAAGCTGCAAGGCAGATGGGAAACCTTTGTTCTTCCCACTTGCCGCTCCAAGTGCCACAACCACCATCTCATCCAAATCTGCCTCACATCAGCCTTGGCTTTGCACCAGGAAGCAAAGGAAATCGGTTACTCCTTTTAGCCTGTGCTCAGGTTGCTCTATCCTTTCCAATACGGAAGCTAACTTCTCTCTGTAGGACTAGGCTGGAAGGACCCAAGACTCTGAAACGGTCAGTGCTTAAAAGAGAGACCCACAAAGAGGTCCTCCCTAGGATTTAAAGCAGCCCTGCCTTGCTGAAACAGGTTCTGCGGCTAATCTCCAGGAGACTTTAAAGCCTTCCCCTAGTCCTTGTGCTCCCCCAGCCAGGCTGTCACAGCTGGACAGTCCCGGCCGAAACAAAACTGGGTTTCAGCTTTAATTAGCCTTGGGAGCTCCCAGCAGCATTTGCTGCATTCGAAGGCTCGGACCACATCCAAGCTGAGGTGTCTGACACTCACCGGCTGCCAAAGGCGCTTGCCTCCGGAGCACAACGTGCGAACTGCTGCTCCACGTCCCGGGCAGACCCAGCGGGTAGGTCTGACACACAGAGCTCTGAAGTGTGAGGTTGCACAAGCCTGAGGCAACCCCCCGGAAGCCCAGAGGTCTCTGCCACTGAGGCACACTCACCCACAGAAGGCCCAACGGAAAGCATGCCAATCAACACCAAGGCAGGCAGGACTGATTTCATCGGGGATGAGCGAGCGCCCAGTCTCCAATGCCCTAACGCCTGAGCCCTGCAGCAGCAGGGGCAGGAGGCGAGGAGCCGTGAGCTGCAGCATCACCTTATTCCCCTGGTGCCAGAAGTCACCACAGAGAACATTTCTGCTCCTTGTACCTACGGTCCCCTTTTGTTGTTCGCTTCTTTCCGATTTGCCGTTGACGAGAGGAAGACTACGTGTCTCCTCCTGCTTAAATGTGGGCAGAGGCTTTGGCGGGCAGAGGCTGGGGAGCCGAGCAGCCTCTCCGTGCACACGTGGCTGCCTCCCAGCTTCCCCCTTGCCAGCGTGCCTGGAAGGATCGGGCTCTGCCTGCGCAGCTGCACCTGCCACTGAGCAAGAAGTGATTGATGCTGGGAATCACTCAGAAGAAAACCGGGAGCCTGCTGCAAGCTCAGCTGAAGGTGGAAGCATTAACTCACCCTGTTCAGCAACTTGAGTGTTTGTGCTAGGTGCAGATGGAAGATGAACGCTCCCCAGGAGAGGCGGGGAAAGGCCTGGAAGGATTTCTGGGAGCGCTATTGGGCACAATGGGGAGGAGGACAGCTCCTCCAGCCCTGGGTCTCCTCCATTACTCTCATGTTCTTGGTTTTTCTTTGCAAGAAAGCTGACAAAAATACTCAAAATTGTTACCACTATTGCGTCTCAAGTCACCCAAACGACGCTGGCCTAAAGGGGGGTGGGTTTGCTCTCCCCAAGCTTCTCAGAATCCAGGGAACCGGGTGATGAAGCCCCAGGCACGGAGAAGCCCTTTCCACCATCTCAGAGCATCGTCCCGTCCCTGCCTCTCACTGCCTCTGTTTTATCACTTCCTCCCTCACCACTTTCCCTTTCCTTCTGCCTCTGGGCTCTCCCCTACTAAAAGGGCTTCTTAGGGAGATAAGGCAGTTTCTGTCAGCGTGTAATCAGAAAAATGGCCAAAAGCAACAGCCTAAAACCTGTCTAATCCTGGTAATTGCCTGCCAAATCTCATAAGGGCTAATGAGTCCTGGATATTCTCACTGTGGTTTCCCAGCATTGATGCTGGGGTCACAGAAAATAACAACAAAGTCCCTCAAAAGCATGGGGGCTTCACTGCCACCACCAGATGTCTGGAGGTATGACTGAACCCCACAAATACACAGGTGAAGATCTGAGACCTAGCACACTCTGCTTCTGCATTTAGCTCTCTGGAAAGAAGGTGGCAGAGCTTGTCCTACACTTACATTGCACTCAGAGCAGTTTAATCGCTAACTTGCGGAACAGAGCACACATGTCACTGTGAGAAATAAGAGCTGCCTGACTGGATCTGACTAATCATCTATCTCACCCAGCATCTTGTCTGCAAGAAAGGCCCCTATTCCAAGCCTCATAAGGGGAAATTATTCAGTAAGACTCTTTTTGACCTCAGGCAGTGGGATGCACTGACAGAAAGGAAGATAGTTTATGTCCTGTATGCATTTGCCCTGTCTAATGGAGCCACACATCTCTCCATATTTCATATAAGTGTCCAGTCCCATTTAGATATTTCCAAGAAGTAGAAAGTTGCTAGTCTAAACTTGACATGCTGTCACTATATCATTCATTCCAATGATTTATTTCATATTCTTCATAGCTGAAGTCATCATCTCAAAGACAGTGAGTAAAGTCCTGCATACAATAAATTGCTAAGGAGGTGATGTAGTTTACTTGCTCACTGGTGCCCAGAATCCAAGAACATCTGCAGCAGGAAGGGGTACCTACTTCCCCCCTCACCCCCCTATTATATTCACCACCCCACCCCAAGATGCTTTTAATTCTCTTCCTCTTGGACCTCTCATTTTTGTCATTGGGGCAAGGAAATTTCATGATGCTTTTCCCCCTGCTTCCTGCTGCAGCACACACGCTCATGTAAAGCCCAAAACAGCCTCATTCCAGCCTCCTTCCTGGGGGAATTTGCTGCAGAATGATTATAGAACAAAGCAAAGGCAATTTCAGGAAAATGAGTTTCTCAGTAGAAAGAATCAAGGAAAAGGAACTACCGTAAGAACCTGACACAATCATTTATTTAAGGAACAGCTGGCACCATATGAAGTAAGTGGTGAAGCATATTATCCGCCCAGTATCACGGCATTTTCAGCTTTACAGATAATATGACACTGGTGGCAAAACATCTTTCCCAGTCACAGACCTTTCAGCCAGTGGAGCACACTTGGCAAGGCTCTGAACGCACCAGGAGTTCAAAGGACTGAGGAGGAAAGGGAAATGAAGTGAGCCCCACGTTCTCGTGCCTTCTGTGGGACCTACAAAACAGCTCCTGGAAGAGGCCTATGGCTCCAGGCTCCCCTGCCCCAATGACCTAGAGCTCAACCAGCTGAGTCCAGCTGATGCCAAGCAGTGCACTGCGGCGCTGGGGGACCAAATATGGGCAGAGGGAGATCCTTTCTCTTGGAGGAGCCTCCTGACGAGGCAAGGCAAACACGTACAACATAAACAGCGCCTATAGAAAGGTCTGCAGTCTGTGCCTTCTCACATTTTATGCTGCAGTTTGTGTCAACGTCACTTTGTTCCCCCTGCAGTTTTGTTTCCCTCCCTTGAGTTTGCTCCCCCTCCATTCCTCACAGGTACATTTGTTCTGCAGTCATTTCTCTTTGGCCTGTTTTACTCCACTAAACAAAGTGCACCTGGCTCGTGGGAGACTGCCCCCCCTCCCCTCCCTCCTATGCCAGGTTGAAGTCATTGTCTGGGATATGAATGACCCATTATTCCAAGGAGGTTTCCAGCGGAACAACCTCTCTCTCTCTCCTGGGAGCATCTTACTTCATATGACTTCCCACAGACCATTGCACTTCTTATCTGCCTAGTCTCTCATTTATTGCAAGCATTACAATTAGTCACTAAATTCATGATCTTTTCTCCAACCAAAGGTTTCTGCTGAATTTGATCAGAAATTTTACATAGCTTAATTTTCTCCAGAAGCTCAAGTGTTTAGGGAAGTGATAGAACATTTACTATTCAGTTACCCTCGGTCTAATTTTCTCTGCTTTGCTTTAGCAGTGGAGGAGATGCCCTTCACTTACAGAAGGGCAGTAATCTGATTAATTATATCCCTGGACTCCAATACCATACGTTAACTCTGTTATGAAAAATCTTCCTTTTGGGCCAGTTTCAGTCAGTGCGGTTACACAAGTACTAACTGCATTCCTTCAAAGTCCAGCCTTCCCCAGCACACGGATTTTTCCACACCACCTCTCCAGAGGGAGAGTTTCAGTTCTCCGCTTTCCATGTTAACGTCTTCCTGGGCAAAAAGGTCATGATTTAAAGCAGCCTCCAAGAAACAAATGCTGCTGCAGCAGCAGGAACTGCAAGCTTCCTTTTCTTTGTTCAGTGTTATTATACAAGTCCTTATTCATTTGGGACACCCTAAATTCCACCCTTGTGTTTAAGGCAGTTTTCAACGCTTAGAGACATACACTAGCACTTAAGTCCCGATAGAGAAAACGCAGCTAAACGGAATGGGTTACTGAAAGTAACCAGTTAGAAAGTATCCCCTGCACACACGCACCGGATTACTGAGCCACACTGTGAGGTTGTGCCTTGCCCAAGCAATGGACAAGCAGGGGAAGTCGAGTAAAGTCCCGCTGAAATCCAGAAAGTCATCCCTTCACGAGAAGGATATTTAAATGCAAAAAGAAAAAGGCTGAATCAAAGTACCTTTGAATAATGATCCTAGAAGTGGACAGGCTTCCTCTGTGCAGAGCAAGGCACACAGCCCAGCAGTATGAAATGGTTCTTTGTGGGCTGCGGCTTTTGCATGGTGCCAAGGTGCAGATAAGGAGCACGCAGACTTCTGAACTTTTGCTCATTGCTGCATTTCTCAGGCTGAGAACAATCACTATCATAACTCTGCTCTCCTGGCCTGCATATTTTTAGAGTACAATTGGCTAAATGCCTTCTCCAGGGTGAAGTTCACTGTCACTATGTTACAGATCCCTTTGCCAATTAACTGGATTTTAGTTAACATAGCCCATTGCTCCTCCAGTAAGAGGTATAGATTTTAATTCTAATAAGCAAGTGTATTTTAGCCTTTCCCAGTTTATGAGGTTTACTTCATATGTCATATGGTGCCGGCCACCAGCTCACCTAGCTATGGGGGTCCTGCCACAAAGCAGACATTGGAGAGGCCTCCCATCCAGCTAGGGGAGCAGGAACAAGACCTTAAGTGCACAAGCGATATCTACTTAAAGTGAATGGGATGTTAGCAAAAACAAAGCATTCTGTGCCACAAAAACCCCTTATTCCCACAGGTGCTCCCGACACAGGGTGCTGGGAGTCACAGCTCAGCCAGCTCAGGCTGGGGAGAGCACCCCAGCTCGCCAGGGCGGGCTGCTCTTCATCTCCACAGTCCGCGCTCTTCGCCTGCTGGTGAAGGCTCCCGACAGCCTGTCCCACAGCGGCAGCAGGACAGGCAGGTGGGTGGGCAACTCCTGGCACCGCCTCCCGCCAAACCATCATCTTCTCTTCTCCCCTAAGCGAGCAGGAGAGGCAAGGGTCAGCCAGATCTTCCTTAGCTCCGAGATGTTTTCTCTATCAAGTCATTAATCTCCCCGGATATTGTTCAAGATAGAATTTAAGGCTCATTAATATATATTGTATTATCCACAAAAACTGCAGGCCTAGATACTGTAACCCTTCGCTACCAGCCTGAGCTCAGTTCTCCCAAGCCATCTCAAAGCCTGCAAGCATGAAATGAAAGATATCCTTAACCTAGTAGAGCATGCAAGATGCTACAAGAACCACACTGCTGAGACAGTGGGTCAGCAACTTGGATTAAAAACACTGCCGATATTGTGTATGAGTTTTTTGATTCTTCACACTTCTCCTGAAGTTCTCCTTGTTCTCCCCCACCGTGCCCTCCCACTCCCTGCTTCCAAGAAGGGAAGATGTGGAGAACATAACTGACCTGGGGGAATTAGACATCTGTATCCAGTACAATGAGGACAACTGTAACCACAAGTGCTTCAGCCCACATGATTCCAAGGTCTATCTGCCAAGAAGATGACAGAGATTAAAAACAACATCTGGTCATGCGCTCACACAAAGTACTTTTTTAAATCATACTAGCCATTCCTGCAGAAGTACCCGCTGCACTGGTCTGCACACAGCTTCTCCGGGGCAGCAGAACACCCTGCATAATCACCATATGACAACATGAGCAAGATCAATCCGACTGTCAAACCATCCTGTAACGGGGGTGAGGATGGGAAATATCTCTGGAACAAGTCAGGTACATGCTCACCTGACCCCAAGAGCACATATTTTAAACGCATGGCAGTGGTGCTGCAAATGCAGGACAGCAGCATGCCACTAAGGCTCTACAGCAGCCAAGCAAGCCTCACTCTCCCCAGGGCTAGAAGAACCAGCTCTGCAGTAAGGGCTGCACACTGCAGGTCACCCAGAGGCACCAGCAAGGAACAGAGACCTTCTGCCATCCTAGCCACCTTCCTAGTTTCTTCCTCATCCTCCCTGCACCCCAACTTTCCCATCAGGTTACTGACCACTTAGGTCTAAAGCAGTGGCCTCAGTTTCTGCCTGTGGAAGCAACAGTGAAAAGGCTGAAGGTTTATCTGTGTCTTGCTGTTTTCCTTTGTGCACACAGGAGCACGTCCCTCCAATTGAGCAGGCTTTCCACAGGCTTTCCACAGTGGGGAATCTACTGAACAGCAGGTGCCAACTGGGAGAGGAAAAAAAAAGGGGGGTTGTGACATCAGTTCGGAACTGTTACTATACCTATTTAACAAGATGCTATCCCATTTACTCTCCTGAAGACATGGTCTCAGCTGCTTTCCAGAAGTGCTCTTCTAAAGACAGTATTCTCACCAAGCAAAAGACTCAAACAGACATTTGTTTCCATAAAGAAATACCTCAAGTACAGACTACTTCCCTTACCCTTTGCAGTCATCACTGCTACTAACCCTTGTTAGACAAGAGTTTCCCATTGGGGTTGCTTCTGAACCCAGAGACCTTGACCAAGCCACTCATTTGCCCATGCAAGATGACCGGGCTGACAAATTATGTGCGCAGCAGCAGCTGCTTGAGCCCACACTTGAGATGCTGCAAGGACAAAACATTTGACACAGGATATCCAGCTGCAGACCTCCAAAGCTAGAAGCAATTGTTCAGTTATCAGCTCTAGCTTCCTGCACAACACAGGGAGTTTAGCATAGCTATTCCCATATTGAGCCAAATAACCCACACTCAGCTCCAGCACGTCATCCACAACAACATACAGCCTGCATCTGAATGCTTCAAAGGCAGTATTAATTCACTGGGCAGTTTGTTCCAGCACTTGAGCATCCTTTTAATTAAGTTTGCACCTCATTTCTAATTTGAATTTGTCCAGCTTCCTCATCGAGCAATTTCTGCTCGCTGTGCCTTTCCCCGCGGGATTAGAACCTCTGAACAGGTAGGGTACAGGCAGCTCCCTCCTCTCTGCCCCACCTGCCCAGAGCCTGTTCAGAGGCGGTCAGCTCATTTTTGACCTTCCTCTCTATAAGGAAAATAGGCTGAGCTGCTAAGTCTCCTGCTTCACAGCATTTTTCCAGAGCTGACTGCATTTCTTCTTTTGCCTCTATCTTCTTCAAAGAGGCATAAGTGACATTCATAGCACGAGATCTTCCCCTGTTGGAAGAGTCACAGGGAAAAAGACTCCTACCTCTTCAGTCTGCATCTCACCCATATTACCATACGCTGCTGCTGCTGCTGTTCATAAACATCTCTTCCCATCAGCATCACACTAAGCCTCAGTCCACACAATAGCACGCCCTCAGCATTTCTCCCAGCAAGGGGTTATTATTGTTGTGGCATAACTAGCACAGTTGTAGGCTCTCGGATAACAGGCTATTATTTCCTTCCTATTTCCATTGTAGCTAATTACCCTAGGTTTGTTTCTTGAGGCTTAGTTTCATACCAAAGCTTTGCAAATGGACCAGAGTTAGAGCCATATTTGTAATGAGATGTTAAGCGCCGAATAGCTTGTCAGCAAAAGCTTCTTTTGCAATGAAGTTCTCTTGCTGCTCAACCCAGTGCTGGAAATGGCTGTGCGCATCTGTAGAGGAGAGCAGGGGAAGAGGGGAGGAGGTGAGGATTGTTCTCGCAAGCGCATTACCCAGGTGACTTCAGCAGACTTGCTGGGGACGTTTCACTTAGGAACTGCAGTCCCAGGGGATAGGACAGGAGGAGTTACTCAGCACTTCCTCCACCGAGTCGCTTTTCCAGAGAGCCCAGGAACACGGGTGAAGACAGCAGGCAGTGCTCACGCCTGGCTGCAAGCACAGTCCCTCCTCTGCCTACCTGCCTTGCCCTGCGTGCCGAGCACCTCTCGCTTGGTCCCCACGCAGTGCACGCACACGATACCTGCTCTCCGCTGTTGCATGACTCAGATGAGGGCCGTGCTGGGCAGCACGCACGCTTGACTCCTGTGCACACCCTCCCTCAGCTGAGGCTTATTGGCACTTTCCCATTAGAGGGCAGGACAGGATAAACAACCTAAGACCAGCTACCACCAGATCGGCATGCTCTACCTCGCCCCAGCAAACGGAGATCAACGCCATCCCAGCTCTGCAGCAGTACCCAGTCTTCTGGGAGCACTTGTGTTTGCGGCACGTTTGTGCACAACGGAAGCTTTATTTGTTTACTTGTAAACAAGTTTCTCTCTCTGCTTTTCACTCTAGCAAGGTTTGTCACTTTGTGAAATGAAGTGAAGCAATGATGAGAGAATTTGGACATTTGTCATGTTTCCCACAGACCAGAAACAGTTATTGTCCTAAGCACCCTAGGGAAAAGTGGAAGCAGATGGTGCTATAGGAGCACTATTATGTTTACTCTTTGAAAGAAACATTTCCATAAGGTCAGAAACCAGAGTATATTATTATGTATTTCTGCAAAGCCAATTTGCTTTCAGACATGGAAGTATTTGCCTGGCAGTATGAAGCCCGAGACTCTTTTAGCACCAATCAAAGCTTTTGAGCACCTTTTCCCAGCTCAGCAGGTTCTTCAGCAGCCTGCCTGAAGCGCAGCCAAAGGGCGCTCCGCACCTACAGGTACTGGGTAGCACAGAACCCTGCTAGGACATGCCCAGCGCCCTCACAGGGGTCTCACCTCTAGCCTCAGGACAGTAAGGACTTCAGGAGTATCAGTAATAGGAAGGGATGGAAGAAATATATATATATATGTATGAGAGGACCTGTGCTTCCTTCCCAGGACATCATAGTGCTGTTTCCTAGTTGCAGAGCAGCAAAAAAGGATTTGCCCAATACCACAGAAAGCCTTTGGATACTTCATGCAAGTTTCCAGAAACCCTCTGGATTGCCTTCAGCACACAACCAGCCTCAATAGGACAACTTCATTTCAGCCACCCTGCTCTGCACCTCGTGGGTGCTCCCTCGCTAGCCTCATCCCTCTGTTTCTACAGTACTTGCTTGTCCTGCTTCTACCTAAGAAAGAAAACCCCTCAATTCTTGGGAGAGCCCATCTGGAAGAAACCACCCTCACACAAGAAGGAGCCACTCCCAATGAACCCTTCAACTTCAGCAAAAAAAAAAAATCTGTGTAACACAGCTGCAAAAGCCCTGCCTGAAACAGAAGCAACAGAGGTGGCATCCACCTGCAAAGAGAGATCACATCCCAGGACGGCTTTGGGCCCAGAGCAAGTGCACAGCCACCCAGCTTACCCAGAGAAGCCTCCAGCCCCCTCTGCTCTGGGCTCAGTTTGCTCCCCATAAAAGGTATCTCTTCCTCCAGACCTTTATGGGTACTGCTGCTACCCCTGCCCACACCCTGCTCCCAGCTGAGGGCCCTCAGCAGCTTCAGCTGGCCTCCAAAACCTGCTGTGGGCTCTTCCTGGCCAGAGGCTCAAGGCTCCCTCCTGGTCATTTCAGAGGTCTCAATCCAGGCAGTCACTAGAGATAAATAAGAAAAAGGAGAAAGAAACCAGCTTGGCACTTCTTGCCCTACAATGTGGCAACTGGAGAATCTGGATTTAAGCAGAGCAAATCAGAGAAACTTCAATAATATTATAGTTAAATAAACAGTGAAATGAATGTATACAGAAAAGCAACAAATATAAATAAGCAATAAAAGCTCTGTGAAAATAATATCATTAGGCTTGCACTGTTATACATTCAAAATTTAAACAGTGCTGAGAATGAGTCTTTTTCTCCCTAGGTTAAGAAATACCCTAACATATAATCATGCAACAAAGACTATGTAATAATTCATGCAAAGAGGGCTGACGCTTGCAATGTTCCTGCTGGCTTTCCTTAACACCTTGGTGCCTGGCTCAGCAGAACCAGAGACGTGCTTTCCTTGCAACTTCGGTGCAGTCTGGGCATTTCTGCACACATTTCATCGTGTTGTCAGAGTGACTGGCAATTGGAGGTGCAAGAACTGCATGCTCCCCTTAGCTGCAGGAGGCAGAAAGCATCTTCTGAATATTGCAACAAAGTCCAGAATGTTGTGAGCCAAGCTCTGTGTGTCTTGGATGCTGCTTCTCAGACTCAGACAGGAACCACGGGCTTAACTGTTAAAAATAAATAAATAAATAAAGTGAAAATACCTACATTCATTTCTTGCATTAATTTTCCATAAGAATGAAAATAACAGCAACCATGAATGACTGTCACATACTGATCAAACATTTTAGTGGCTTCCTGGAGCACCAGAGAGAAGTCTAGACCAAGCTGAAACTCTAACCGAACTGTTTAGTCCCTTGCTCCAGCTCATCCTCATGACCATAGTCACCAAAGCTTCAGGCAGAAGTTAAACTACTGAGCAAAAAGGGGGAAAAAATCACCCGAGGCCTCTGGTGCCTAACAGAACAGTTTACGCTCCTCACTTGACATGGCACTTCCATGCCTTGCACGCACAGCCTGTGTTTGTTTGAAATGCTTGCAGTGTCTTGCCTCTCTGCCAGTTTCCAGATCATTAGGTTTGTCTTTACAAAGATGACCGCCTCCTCTGGGCTCCTCTCGCTAGTCTCTTTTTTTTATATATATATGTTTATTTTCCCACAAGTGCTATCACTTGGCAACATGCAGCAAGGCAGAGGCAGCAAATTTGCTTTGCCGTGTAAAGCTGGAAATGGAAGAGAGAAAATCCTGGAGGGAATCCCCCTCGGCTGCTTGCTGCAGGATTAGAGGCGCAGAGCAAGCGCTGGCTGCCATAAAACACCAGCAGCATCCGTAAGGCTCTCGGGGGGAGCATCCTCTGTGGGCTGCGGGCCAGGCCGGCACGGCCGCGCTGTGCAGGGCAACATCAGCAAGCTCCCCACAGCCACTCTGCCGAAACGGTCTGAGTTAGCACGCCAAATCCTCCTAGCTTTGGCTGAGAAGACACCTGCTAATGTCGCAGTGTACACTCAGCACTGGAATGCTTAATCCACTGCTGGGGCATGAAAGCAAACCACCAGTGTCTTTAGCCAGAAATGGCAGGCGGGTGACAAATAACCTCGGCACGACTTCCGTGCCACCTTCAAAAGTCAGATGTGACATTGTTCAGTTCTCGGGAGGCTGCCCGCAAAGGCTGCTGCTGCAAAGCCCCTGGCCAGGGACAGGAGGCCTGCGTGGGGCGAGCAGCCCGGCGTGTGCACTGCTCTGCCCCTGGGTACAGCTTTCCTCCGTCTTATTGCTGCATCTTCTTTCATTTCCTCTCAGCTGGGGAGGATTTCAGATAAACGCTGCTTGACATTTTAAAGTATGAAGCTTTTTGTTCCCTGTAATTACTCCAAATCTCCCAGAAAGCCGTCAGCAGCTTTCAGCGTGGATGCCTCTTGCCAGCTGCCACCGCTGCCTGTCCCTCAGGAACGGAGGCTGCACGTGCCCCTGCCTTCCCTGCGGGTCTGGCCTCAGGGGAAGCCTGCAAGGGCCTTCCCTCTTGCAAAGCACCAGCTTGCTGACAGTCAGAGGAGTAGAGGGAAGAAAGAAGAGGCAGGAGGGAGCTCCAAGGGGGCAAATTTCACCAGGCAGAGGAGCCTCTTGGGCAAATTTAAGGAAAGTCACTGGGATTTTTCTTCCCAAGATGCCTGCTCTGCTCAGGGGAGCCACCACACAGCAGGGCCCAAGGCTGAGGAAAGCAGCCAGAGCTGGTGTGTTAAAAGGGTTGCGTATGGGATGGGTGATACTCGGAGCATGCAACACGTGCCTGTTCGCATTCAACAGACCAGGCTAAACCAGGCTGGCTTGTGTCCCTTCATGGGCACCAGATATGGTGGGGATGGATACACATCCTTTCAGAGTGGGGTCTCGCTCTGGGGACCAAACTGCGTGCGGGCAGAAGGTGGAAGTGGCCGTTGGAGCAAAGAGCTCTCCAAGCACGCCGACGGCCGGGCACAAGACACAGCCAAGGACATGTCAGATGTTAGCACACTGTGACTAGTGACTAATGGATTCCGTCACGAGGTTTAGAAACCAAAGAAAAGCTGCCTGGAACTTCTCACTCCATCTTGTCGTTGCCCCGCCATCTGTCCTTAAATAAACACCAAGAAGATATTTTGAGTGATGTATCAGGCTGTGAAATTAAGAGAAGGACAAAGAAAGACAAACAGAAAGAGCCATCGGCTTGCTAGCAAAGAGTACCAGCAGCACAACAGGAAAGCAGGAATCCATGGGCCTGTGGAATTCACGCTGCATTAAGGCCTCAGTTCTTGAGCGCTGTGTGCATGCGCTTGGGGTGTTTATGGTCCGGCTCGGCTCTCTGGTGCTACAGATGGAAACTGATAAGGCCAGTTGTAGTTCACAGATCCTGTGGGGGGTAGGACCAAGTACCAAGTCACAAAGGGAAATTGTGATCAGCAGAAGCCTGGCAGGGCAGGAGATGAATGGTGTTATGGTGAACAGGCAGTAAGGAAAGGAAAAACTGGACATTAACCTGTCAAGAGAAAAGACAAGGAATATGCACTTTTTGGTTCCCTGGTTCCTAGCCCTAGCTGGTTTAGGATAATTTGACTTTCCTCTAAGACTTTGCACCAATATGTTTCAGCTTATTGATTGCTTGCTAACTCTGATTTACTTACTGTACCCAGGAGAGTCTGGCCAATGAGTTCAAGTCTGTTGGCACCACCTCACTGCCTTGCACAGAGTCTGACCCTTTGGGCCCGTTCCTGTCTCCTGGCCCTCCTCCCGGAGATGTTCCCAGCCCCGTGACCCGTGCCCTTTTTTGTCTGAGTTGTTTTCTCATCTTTGTCATTTCTTGGGTGAGCGATGGAAAATGAGTCGGGCAGTTTGCATGCGGCAGGCTCTAATTGATGGGCTCTGCTTGTAAGAATATTTACTACAACATCATAATTAACTTGACATGCAACCAGAGTGTGGCAGCTGGGAGCTGTGATTCATGGCCGACACGAGGCCTCCAGTAACACACAAGCAGGGACTCATGCCTCCTCCTAGCTAATCAAATGAAAATAGAAGAAATTAAGTTGTTAATTCATCCTCCTCTCACCCTGAGTCTTGCCCCTGATGCTGAACAGGATCACATCCATTTGCCAGAAGCCAGCGGTGAGCATATCACACAGCAAACAGAAAAGGAAGGTCCAGGTCGTGGTCTATGCTGAGAGTCGTAATTTTCAGACACTCATTGTAATGTTACCGGCTTGTGGACCCATTTCTTAAGAACAAAGTTCAGCAAAATCTCTAGCACATTTACAAGTGTGAGTGTTTGAAAATTAAATGCCTGCCTTCCAGCTTGGCCAGAGCAAGCACAGGACGCATGTACTTGCATGGAGGGGGCAGAGAACAGGCAGATTATACCCTAAAATATGAAGAGCATGTGTCAGGCACCTCATGCTTGTGTGTGTGAGAGACTTAAGGACTACGAAGATGAAATATAGAAATAGGGAGGCTGGGGTGGTGAAAAGAGCAACAAAGGCCAATGTATTTGTGAGCCAAGATCAAGGCATTTTTGCCCAGGGCAACCCGTTCTTAGTTTCACCATTGGAAGAAGGCAGCTCTTAGCAATTCTTTCTCCCCTAAAAGCTGGCATTCTATTGCATCTGAGTGAAACATGCTCCCATCTGCCTACACACACAGGTAGATGTGGGCTTGCAATTAAAGTCCTTATTTTAAAATATAGATGAGTTTGTGTTTGACTGCTGCACATCAGCGGCAGAGCAGATTGTGTATTTGTATGGCTCTACCTCCAATGCATCCCAGTTCACACACAACACAGACCAGGTCTCTTTGTTTGAATCCAGAGACACACAACCTGGTGACCTCTTCGCATCCCAATGTTCATTTTGCTTGCATATCTTGCAACAGTTAAAAAAAAAAAACCCACCCTCTCAACCCTATACTTACGAAGCAGTGTGAGCACATTTCCACGGGTGCCTGCTCAGTGCCAAAGCACCCTCCTCTGCAGATTGTGGAGCCCGTGGGAAAGCGCCCGTATCCTCCCGCACAGCCATATGGAGCACTCGGACGAACGGAGCGTGGCCCGTGCTTCAAACCTTTCCGCTTTGTCACAGCACAGAGAAATAATGACTTTTCACGTCCCACCTTGGGGAGACCTCAGGCAGCTTATTCCCTAGGATTCGCTGCAAAGCCAAGGCACTTAACCCACAGTAAGTAGTTTCCCTAAGAGCAGAGTGTGCCCTGCCACGTGCTGCCTGCGTTTCTATCTTGGCAGCTCAGGCTCTGGGGGAGCTCTGACAAGCAGGGCTCACTCCTCCCACACAAAAAGGAAAGGAGTGAGCAACAGGGGTCCGAGAGCAAGAGGTGTTCGTGAAGTGCCAAG